GATGATCTCTCATGCTATCGCTAACATATCTTTGACTTGAATCGCATGCTGTGGATCAAGATCATGGCAATGTAACGGCACAAACTGTTAGGAGAAGTGACAATATTCAGCTTTGTCACGTAACTCTTACATGCTGCTGATTCTTAAACAACATTGAAAGAACAAAGCATTTCAACGTTAATGTCAGCTAAAATCGCCAAATATAAATTCATATCGATAGCTGATCGATGTTCCCAGACTCGATTCTGGAGTCCCCAAGGCCTCCAAACATCCACGATGTTTCCAAAATTTTCTCCAAATTTATACACATACATTTCTAAGTAGCCATTCAGTACAATCAAAAAGACGCATACCCTTTCCAAAACAACCGCATCCACATGACCTTGTGGTGTGTCTCGTTCATCATCAGCATGCTCTTTCTCCGTCACCCTCTCATCCGGTTTCCTCCTTTGGCTGCTAACCCCAACACTGTCACGTTTTTCAGCAACTGCTGTGGTCGGTAATTCTTCGTCCTTTAAGCTCGTTTGTTTATAAAATTTAGCGACAGCCCACTGCTACCAGCCGTTAAGCACTCGATTCATTCAGTCCGTAATGTAAACAATTTGTTTATTCAGCTGTTTCCTTTATCACACCACATTTTCTGCACACATATTTGTCAGTCATCTTTCACATCGATGTTCTATCTATCGCAAACAACTGTCAATTCAGCGTGATATCTCCTCAAATTTTCTACTTATCTGCCTCCATCGCTGCTATCCATCAACGTTATCCCATAAATACACTTAGAAAGACAATTTGATGACAGAAGAAATGGAAACAGTCTCTTCGAGATTGTGAGAAGAATTTCTGAACAAATTAGCTCAAGTGAACACCATCCGACTAAATTGCTGAATTACGATGATTGATGCAACTACCTCAGGTATCACTTGTGAAACCACTTTATTTGTGTCATTCGTTGGGATGAAACGAGGCGGGGACATATCGATCGTCGACGGTGACACTTTCTCGGGAGTTGACAACGTTGAGGAAGTCGTTTCAGTTACGGCTGCAGATTCACTCAGCTAAAAATTCGAATATTTTCCCAGTGAAAACGCAAATATTGTCAGGATGCAAAGCAAAACGAAACGTTCAGAAAAACACACTGAGTTGACACAATATGATCACAAATACCTCACAGTTCCCAGATAATCATTTTCTGTATTCTGAATATCAACCGTGACAAATGAAAGCATGAGAAATGTAGTGATGAAATACGACAATACAAATGTTAACCCTTTTGGAATGAAACGAGATATAACACGAGAAATACAACAACGAAATGTCAATCCTTTCATGAAGTTTATCTCAATTCAAATATTGCTTGCTACCTGACAGAATTGACCACATAAGCTTATTTATATTTAGTTTACTCGAATCGAGTAACAATGTCCCTGAACAAGCAGATTTTGAAAAGTGCGAACTAAGGTTGGCATGAGCAAAACGTGAGCGAGGGACATGGGAAGCAGAAGTGATTATTCTGGTCCTACCGGGGACGAACAGGGAAGCATTTGTTCCCGTAACTTTCTTCTAAAGCTAACCATTGTAAAAACAATCTGCATGAAAGAATTTGCTCCTTCAACGAATGCAACCAACCTCCAAACACACAATCTAACAACAAGATGTTGGTCAACAGACAAAACGAAAGTTTCGAACCTTATCCAGATTTTCGTTTGCCTCTGAAATCGGTGAGAGAGACGCCGGTGATTCAAGGATTTCTTCAACGGTCGGCGGAACGCGAATCGTGCTCGAGAAAGGCGTCAAATGATGGTCGTACGACTCAAATATTGTGGTCGGTTCATTCTTCTTAACAAAAATTTTCTGTTGATTTCAAGCAATATTCAAATGACATTCAATCTATCAGTTTAAACAAATCATATGCATGAGTTCGTACTTTTGACACAACTCATCTCACTCTCATTCTGCTTTTCAGTAGTTCTTTTTCTTTTTTCGGTCATGAGATAAATTCAGCGATAAAACAGACCAAACCATTCATAAAACATTGATCAAATGAGTGAAACAGCGATATTAATACACATTCGAGTATGCCTAATCATTTCTAATTGAACAAAGGTATTTTTGATTCGTTAGTACCGCACATTCCTGAGAATCATATCGATAGCAATCGTGAACCAGTCTACTGCCACAACAACGGCCTGTTTAGTGTATCTATCTCACAGTCAGAGTGACAGGGCTAAATCGACGATCACGCATGTTTCAACTCTTCAATGAATCAATAAGTGGTGGTTTCGATAGAAGTATTAATTAGCACTCACTTTTTTGCTAATGAAATGATTAATTTCCGAGGTATATGCTAGAGGTTTTTGATTTGCTTCATCAAGCGAATCACTTTCCTTATACTCCACAATATCGTCGTCGTAATCGTATTCGTGTCGATTGCCTGGTTCAGGCCAACTCAACGGTTTTTTCTTCTCAATATTTTCCATTTTATTCGGAACTACTTGTTCATCCGTTTTTGGTTGATTTACATGTGGTTCCTCGTCGAAGTCTTCAATTACGGTTGTACCCATCAACATATCACTCGCATCCAACAACAGTTTTCGTTGCTTCTCCTTTTTACGTTCATCGAGCTGAAATTTCGGATTCGTTTCCGATAACGCACTACAAAACGTCACTAAGAACCAACAACAATCTGAATTCCACATTCAGATTTCACAGTAAATCTAACGTTTCTACAATATGTGTTT